ACGTAGTCCTTAGGGGTGCCGCAGCAAAAGTATGCTGCCGGTTCGGACACCACAGTGACAGGCAGAAGGAGACCGAGTTCCCTGCTCTATGCTAGAAGATCTGTGTGTAAATCCTGCTCTTCTCCCTGGAGCAGCAGCAGTGTCTGTAATGTCTTACAGCGTGTGATCTGAGCCCGAGGGGGAGGGGGGGGGGGTGCCATTGAATTTTTTTTTTTTTTTAAGTTGCCAGTGGCTGTGTGAATCACAACAACGAGGCTCATGCACACAGACCTTCTGCGTTTTATGCAATAGAAATGATCTGGGAAGTATCGACAAACTTCATAGATCCATGCATCCAGGTGTTCTTGCATGGACGTATATAGTTGATGAAAACAGGCTAAACCGTCGCAGAATGCACAAAATTCTTGTTTGCATAAACACAACTTGACTGGATGTTCAGCAGTGTCTAGATGCATTCAGTCATAGCACAGCCTTGGGGCTCATACTCACGGGTACATTTGCTTGTATGGTGTAAACAAATGGGCATATTTTGGTGCCTGGGAGTCTCTGATGCTATGTACAGCCATCCTAAGACATTAATGGGTGAAGACAGTTGTATGCAGCTATGTGCCGCTACATGCCCCCCTGCGAATGCATTTACAAATGAGCTGTAGACGCATGTATTTGAGGTCTGTGTGCATGGTACCTTATGTTGGGGCCCTGGCTTTAATTTTTATTTTTTCATTCCCTGAGAACAGATCCCCAAGGTTTCTGTTTCTGTTAGAGAAGGACTTTGTACAGAATGACAAGCTGCAGTCCCAGCCAGAAACACATGTGAGGGGCTTGTAGAATCTGACTGCAAGGATTTCATACATCTAGGTGTAACGTAATGCTTTTCACTATCTGACCACTCAGGTCTATGTATTTTCCTAGTATAATGCAAACAATGTAGAGAATGTTTAGAAATGATTACGTGCTGCATTTCTATTGTATGTTTTTACACCACAGGATGAAATGATTAAAACACAGAAAGGGTCTATGGAGGAACCCTAAATTTTTTTCTTGATGTGATGGATTCTGCGTAGAAAAGAAAATATTGTTACTCTTCAGATAAATGGAACTTGAAGGGACGGCCTTGAATCTATAGCTTCCAACTGTTTTTGTAGTGTGGACTCTTGCTCCTAAAGAGAGTCATACGTTACAAATATTAGTTCATATGTCAGATATGATGCAGTTGATTATTAACCACATTTGTACCGGTCACTATTATCACCTTCCTGCCCAGGCTAGTTTTCAGCTTTCAGCGCTATCACATCTTGAATGACAATTGCTCAGTCATGTAGGACTGTTCCCAAAATAAATTTAAAATTTTAATTTTTTTACACAAATAGAGGTTTTTTTCGGTGATTATTTAATCATTGCTGTTTTTTTTTTTTGCCAAATAAAATTGAAAAAAACAAAACTGTTTTTCCTTATTTCTGTTTAAAATTTGCAAATTAATAATCTTTCTTCATAACTTTAGGCCAAAATGTATACTGCTACATTTCTTTGGTGAAAATAACCTAGATAAGTGTATATTATTTAGTCTGCAGGAAAGTTAGAGTTTACAAATTTTGGTATATATATTTGAAAATCAATCCTGATGCCCTTTGAGCATTTCTGTCAGCATTCCCCAGGGTCCCCTGGTCTCATTTCTGTAATTTATGTCTCCCTTAACAGTAGGTCATCCTCATCACACCTGTCTTATGTATCTCATTGGGAGCGAGATCTGGGTGTCTCGATTGCGGCGGAGGAGTGGCGTAGGGCCTGGGGGATGGTGGCGAAATGTTCATTAAATACAGTCACTCTTGAGGCAGCCTATAAAGTTTTCTCCTGCGGTGGCACTGGGTCCCGGTTCTGACTGCTCACTTTGATCCGACTGGCAGAGATAGGTGTTTCCGGAACTGTGGTCTACGCGGGGACATCCTTCACATTTGGTGGTCGTGCCCGCGATTGATAGGCTTCTGTTCTAGGGTTTTTGGTTTGCTGCAAACACTATTTCATATTACGGTCCGTAGGGATGCAAAGGTGGCCCTCCTGCATTGCCCAATTTTGGGTCTGTCTAGGTCTCAGCAGAAATTGGCATCCTACCTTTTTATTTTGGCCAAATGTGCTATAGCTCAAGCTTGGAGAACCCCTTCAGTTGTCTTCCAGGGGGTGAAGACCCGGGATGAATGCTATGTTGTTCAATGAACAGATGTCTAGCATTCTTCATGACTCTCATCCGAGATTCCTTAAGGTTTGGGAACCCTGGATACATTATTCCTTGCCATCTCTGCCTCCTACTAGTTATGGCCTCCTATAGTCGCTGCTTTTGCTAGCCCCGGATCCGTGATCCTTCTAGTTTCCCTTTTTTTCATGTTTTTTTTCTGATTCCCTTTTGTTTTATTCTCTTTTTCTTTTCTTCTAACCTTTTTTCTTTTCTTTTCTTTTTTCTATATTATGTTGGATTACTGCTGCTATTTGGTTCAGCTTTTTGCCGTCTCTTCTAGATGTCATTGGACATTTCGTTATTTGACTAGTACAAGTCAGCAGGATGTCTCTGTTTATGTGTTATTGTTCTGCTCTGTCCCTGCAAGGGCGTATTTTGAGCTTGTTATATTCTTAAAAACAAAATTTTCTTAATAAAAATATTGAAATCCTGATGTACCGATGGCCTACCTCATCTCTTGGGGCCCTAAAATGCCAGGACAGTACAAATATTTCCCAAATGACCCCTTTTTGGGAAGCAGACAGTCCAAGGTAAGAGGTGTGAGTTTTTTGAAGTTGTCATTTTTTTCACAATTTTTTGGAAAACTTAAAATTAAAAACATTTTTTTTTATCTATCTATTTTTTTTTTTTTTTATTACATTCTGTTACCAGTGGAGTACAGCATAATATTTTTATGAATGGCATCCATTCATTCAGGGTGTTCTGTGAAGCTGTGATTGGCCATGGCTATCACATGGTACAGTTTCACTGTGGATTGGCCCTTTCTTTACCATGTGTCTTTATCACTGTAGCCAGTAACAGAGATCAACACAATAGTACACAATGAATGTCTGTGAATGAAAGCCATTCATTGTGTACAAATGCCATGTGACCTGCTGTGATTGGTCACAGCGATCACATGGTACCGGTAGCGTCCCAGTACACTGATTTGTCATCCAGTGGATAAACCAGGTGACAGATCATGCCACAGCATAGCCTGGTCCTGGGAGGACGTCATATGATGTGCTCTCGCTCGGCCATTATTTTATTATAGGTTTGGTGGGACATAGTTAAATACAGTTAAAATAGATCTAAAGGTAAAACTTTTTTTCATTTTGGATAGTGTAAGGTAGGCTTATAACCCTTGGTAAGGTTTATTTTTGCCATCTGTGTCCCATTAGGGAGATTTACCTTCACTTCCTATCCCATAGTCAAACAGGAAGTCAGAGAGAATCCCTTTAAAGTGAGAAATCCCTGGTTGTCACCAGGGTCAGCAGAACTAGTATCCCTATTGGAAAATATCCCCACTTCTCCCGTTCTGGGCAAATCCCCAAAATTTGGGATTTTTTTCACTTTCGTTGATGATTGTAAACAATATTAATAAAGAGGGCTAAATTCGAATGCTTGCGCTCTCAACTAAACAGTGAAGCCACCAAAAGTGTCATAACTGATCACATATATGGCTAAGATGGCAGATTCCTTGGCTGTTAAGAATAGGAGAGCTTAGTCCCACTTTAATAGAACAGAATTAAAAGTCACTTTGAAATAAAAGTGCTTACAAAAAAAGAAAAACTTAAACCATGCAATGTGCCAGAAATACAAACTTTTTTTTCCTATGATCCCCAGCTCCATCAAGTGGCCATGATGCAGTATTTTTCCAGAGCACTCTGCTTTTTATGAATAAATAACATTCGATTTGTCAAAGAAATAGGAGAACATTTGATTTTGACTCATTCCTGCTCAATTACTGTACCCACAGTTTTGATGGACAAATAGCCATGCAAACGTTTTTTATAAATACACCACATACTGATTCATTTTGCTATTTGTTTAGTTTTGTTTACAAGCCAATAGGAATGCAATGTGAAAAATTGGTAAATGTATGTCTAATATATGCCATTTTCCCAGCAATTGATTTGCTTCTTAGTCTAAAAATGATTATTTTTTCCAAAAATGTCAGAGTATATATTTCAAACTTTAAAAAACTTTAAAAAATTGTCACCTCTATGAAGAAGATGCTGTACCTTTTATCATAGACTATTGAGAACTATAACACAACACTACATGTGATTGTTCATGGCCAATTATGAATCCTTGGCAAGTGCAAATTTTTTTTTGCAATGTCTTTATGGTTTTAGCATTTTTTTTTATTTATTAACCACTTGCCTACCAGGCACTTATACCCCCTTATTTACCAGGCCAATTTTCAGCTTTCAGCGCTGCCGTACTTTGATTGACAATTGCGCGGTCATGCAACATTGTACCCATATGAAATTTTGATCATTTTTTTCTCACAAATAGAGCTTTCTTTTGGTGGTATTTAATCGCCACTGGCCGCTTTACTTTTTGCGCTATAAATTAAAAAAAAAGTGCAAAAAATTTGAAAAAAAAAAAAAGTTTCTTTGTTTCTATTATAAAATTTTTCAAACAGGTATTTTTTGTCCTTCACTGATGTGCGTTGATGAGGCAGCACTGATGGGCACTGATAGGCGGCACTGATAGGCAGCACTAAAGGGCACTGATAGGCAGTACTAATGAGGTGGCACGGATAGGCGGCACTGATAGACAGCACTAATGAGGTGTCACGGATAGGCGGCACTAATATGCAGCACTGATAGGCTGATAGGTGACACTGATGATGGGTACTGATAGACGGCACTGACTGGCATCACTGCTGGGCACTGACTGGCGGCACTGACTGGCACAACCCCTGGGCACTGACTGGTGGCACTGACTGGCAGCACTGCTGGGCGGCACTGGTGGGTGGCACTGGTGGGCAGCACTGGTGGGTGGGCACAGGTGGGTGGCACTGGTGGGCACAGGTGGGTGGGCACAGGTGGGTGGCACTGCTGGGCACAGGTGTGGCACTTCTGGGCACAGGTGTGTGACACTGCAGTGGCACAGGTGGGTGCACTGCTGGGCACAGGTGGGTGCACTGCTGGGCACAGGTGGGCGGAGCTAGTGGGCACACTGCTGGGCACAGGTGGGTGGAACTTGTGGGTGGCATTGCTGGGCACCGATCATCAGGGCACTGATCATCAGTGCCCTGATGATCGGTGCCGATCCCCGCTCTGACAACTGCCGGTTCTCGGCAGTACTTTCCTCACGATCTGACAGCGTAAGGAAAGTGCAGCCGAGAACCGGCACTTGCATTTCCCTGTGATCAGCGTGTCATTGGACACCGCTGATCACGTGGTAAAAGGCCGGTATGATTGGCCTTTTACCACATCACGTGATCAGCTGTGTCCGTAGGACACAGCGATCACGGAGATCACCGGGTGTGCGCCCCCTGGGGCGCGCAGGAGAGCGCGTTCTGGGAGGACGTCATATGACGTCCACTCAGAACTGGCCGGCCGCAGTTTAGACGTCATTCGGCTATCTGCGGTCGGCAACTAGTTAAGTGGGCTGTACAGTCTCCTAAATGTTTGTATCCAGGGATGACAGCTTCTAGGCATGTGAAAGGTTAGTATTTAATGTGAACACCCCTTAATATTTTATACACACAGCTTTAACACACATTGACCAGTTGCCCTCTAGAGGATATACCCCCCCCCCCCCCTTCTTGACCAAGCCATTTTTTGCGATACGGCGCGCTGTGTTATTTTGACTGACAATTGCCCGGTCATGCAACGCTGCACCCAAATCAAATTTATGTCCTTTTTTTCCTACAAATAGAGCTTTCTTTCGGTGGTATTTGATCGCCTGTGCATTTTTTATTGTTTGCGCTATAAACAAAAACGACAATTTTGAGAAAAAAAAACTATATTTTTGACTTTTTGCTATTAAGCATGTCCAATAAAAAAAATTTGAAAAAAGAAATTTCGTTATAAATTTAGGCCAAAATGTATTCTGCTACATGTCTTTGCTACAAAAAAAATCCTAGTACGCGTAAATTAATTGATTTATGTGAAAGTTATAGCATTTACAAATGGCGGTATATATACTGGCGTTTTTTGGTTTTTTTTTTTTTACTAGTAATGGCAGCGATCAGCGACTTATAGCAGGACTGTGGTGGGCAATCTGACACTGTGGGGAATTGATTTTGGTGTCACTGACATCCCCACTGACACCAATATAGTGATCAGTGCTAATAAAAAGCACTGACTCTGTACTAATGGCACTGGGCAGGAAAGGGTTGACATGGGGCGATCTACGGGTTAACTGTGTGCTGTTTCACAGTATGGCATGTGTGATTTCCACTGTAAGCACACTGCTATGCAGAGCCATACAAAGCAGTGTGCAGGAGCTGACAGGGAAGAGATTTGTATTGTTGACATACAGGTCTCTCCCCCATCAGAGATATTCGATGATCACCAGGTGTTGGCAAGTAAAAACCGTCCGGGACCCAGTGATTGACAGCCGATGCTACGAATGGCCACGTGGATAGGGTCCCTACCCGGAAATGCAAAATCACATGTATATATACGTGATTTTGCGCACCCCTGCCGCCCTGTAGCAGTATTTCTGCTATAGGGCGGAGGGGAAGTGGTTAATCATACTATAAACGTGTACACTGGATGTTTTATTTGTTTAATTATAGGTTCAAAGGGAACTTTGAAAAATGTATTGAGTCTGCCAAAGTGACCTGTACTTTCTTTTGTACTTGGCTGTAATTCTGATACAAATGTATCAGTCATTGCTGAATCACTGACATACAGCAGAACAGGTACCCATATTAGGAATTCAGACTTCACTGTGAAATTACTGAGGCCAGGAACAGCCAGGCAGCTAGCATTTTTAGGAGGAGGTCACAGAAATGAGCAACAAATATGTTCCACACTTGTGGTGCCATTCATTATTAATGGCACACAGATCCATGGTTTTTGTGTGTGAAAAAAACGTGCAAAGCATAAGAAGGTTCATGAGCTACTTTGCCGCATGTAGGGCAGCCCATTGAAATGATTGGGCTGCCCTATTCATGTAGTGTGACAGAGTGCAAAAAAATGTGAATATGCCTAATGTCATGCACAGGGGCGGACTGACCATTCGATCACTCGGGCACTGCCCGAGGGCCCGGGGTCAGTAGGGGGCCCCATGAAATGCCCTTGGTACCTTTTTTTTTATAGGCTTTTTTTGAGTGTGGGCGAGGACATAGGGGCCCCATGATCCCCTATTGCCCGGGGACCCCATGAGTTGTCAGTCCGCCCCTGGTCATGCAGCATAGTGTAAATGAGGCCTTACTTGCAAGTTACTCCCAAAATGAAAAGAGGATGAATAAATGCAACTGTCTCTTGGGCATTGCTATTGTAATTACTCGTTTAAAGCAGTATTAAACTCAAAAGTAAACATTTATTATATTGCAGCTTAGATGCGGTAGCTGCATTTGTTTCCTTTTTTTATACTTACTGATCTGATACTGATCTGACCAGTAAGTATGTTGTTTTTCAGTAGAACAGGCTGTCTTGCAGTTTCAGCCTGGGTTCACAGTGATGCAGTGCAGAATTTGCAGCGTTTTCTGTGCAAATTCACATCATGAATGCACCCCGTTCATGCAAACCGCTGCGTGTGTGTATATGTATGTGTATACAAACTCGTGCAGACTCCACCTCCGCAACATCGCCAAAATCCGCACGTTCCTAACCCCAGAAACCACTAAACAGCTCATCCACTCCCTCATCATATCACGACTCGACTACTGCAACTCCCTCCTCACTGGCCTGCCTCGCCGCTTACTATCCCCGCTTCAGTCCATCCTGAATACGGCTGCCAGACTCATTCACCTTTCCAACCGCTTCATCTCCGCCACCCCCCTCTGCCAATCCCTCCACTGGCTTCTGATTGCGCAACGGATCAAATTCAAAATCCTAACACTGACGTACAAAGCTGTCCACCATACTGCCCCGAACTACATCACTGACCTAATATCCAAGTACCACCCAGCACGCACACTCCGCTCCTCACAAGACCTCCTTCTCTCTAGTTCCCTGGTCTCCTCCTCCCATGCCCGTCTCCAGGACTTCTCCAGGGTGTCACCCATCCTCTGGAACTCCCTGCCCCAACCCATCAGATTATCACCTACTCTCCTCTCCTTTAGGCGCACCCTGAAAACCCATCTCTTCAGGGAAGCCTACCCCACCCCCTGCTAACTTGCCGACCTCCTCTACTCTTCCTACCACTCCATCCCCCACAGCTATCTCCTCCTGTGCCACCATCCCCTCCCTCCTAGATTGTAAGCTCGAAAGAGCAGGGCCCTCGAGTCCCCTCATGTTTTGCATTGTATTGGTATTGTTCTGTCACATATTCTGTCCCCCTTTGTAATGTACAGCGCTGAGCAAACTATTGGCGTTTTTTAAAAATACTGTATTATAATAATAATAATAATATGTTAAGTTAACAACACCCCGAAATCGGTCTGCAAAATGCAGTGCGATGAGCAGAATCGGATTGCATGGGTGTGAATACCTGTATTTGATCTGATTCTAGTAACAACCAAAAAAAGGGTCCTGCACCTTTTTGGTGCAATTTGAGCCATACAAAATGTATTGCTCCAATCGCACCACACACAATTTGCATGTGATTTGCACAGGAATGCGATGCGGTTTCTGTGCGAATCAGATGCGATATACCTCACCGAATATGTGTGAAAACAGACCATTTAATACTGCAGGGCTGCTTTAAAATGATCAGATTTTATTCATTTATGTAAAGTCTGCTGCTGTGACTGATTAAAAGTATTAGCTGGAGTTTGGCTTCAATTTGTTACTGTGTTTTGTTCTATTAGTACTTCTAACACTCCCCTCTCCCCATACTGACAATGCTGCTGTCCAGATCTGCCTCCCGAAATCATTCATCCAGAGTGGTGTCTGAATAATACAGGAGATGTGTTAGGCTTCATGCACACTGGCTTAAAAATTGCTGCTTCTACAGGAGTTTTGTGTTTTGCCTGTAGAAGCAGCTCAGTGTTATCCTTTGTGTCCATGCACATTAAGACGATTAGAGGCATATTTTAAGCTCAACATTTAGAGGCAAGAAAATAAAACCCTTCTGGTCTGCGTTTTTGATTGGAGGTTTCTGGCAGAAAAAAAAACAGCAAAACTCTCCTACACTCATCTAAACTGTGTACAGAACACTCTATTTCAGTGGGGGGGGGGGGGGGGGGGGGGGGGGGGGGGGGGGGGGTTTTATGCCATGGGAACTGGCTTTCTTTTTTTCAAAGCCCAGTGTGCATGGAGCCTTGCTGGCTATATCACCAGATGAAAACAGAGGGGAAAAAAGCCTTAAAAAAAAGAAAACTAATGCAGCCACCACATCTGATGATTGGTAAGCTGCAATTTATTACATTTTTGGTTTGGGGTTTAATACTGCTTTAAATGTAACCGGGGATGAATCCCTCATGTTGTATCCCCTCCCTCCTAGATTGTAAGCTCGAAAGAGTAGGGCCCTCTTACCCCTCGTGTGCTGTTTGTTGTTACTGTACTGTTTCATGTATTGTCCCCCCCTCTATTGTACAGCGCTGAGCAAACCCTTTGGCGCTATATAAACTCGATAAAATAAATAAATAAAATATGGGGGGGGGTTTTTTTTCCATTTTTGGTAAAATGTGAAAGGAATACTTGGTGACCAGGGGCAGACTGACAACTCATGGGGCCCCCGGGCAATAGGGGATTATGGGGCCCCTGTGTCCTCACCCACACTCAAACCACACCCAAAAAAGCCTAAAAGAAACTAGGGGCATCTCATGGGGCCCCCTACCGACCCTGGGCCCTCGGGCAGTGCCTGAGTGCACGAATGGTCAGTGCGCCCCTGTTGGTGACTGTACATGTAAGCTGTCATCCAATACTCTTGTATGTTGTGGTGTTCAGGTCACAAGCTTACCTCAAGTTACCAGTGCCAACTATTTGCGCACACTGTGTTTTCAGTAGGTCATTTTTTAATGAATTAGATCCATTTTATATATTAAAGCGAAAACTTTGTTTTTGCACATATTTAAAGACTTAATTTTCTAGCCTTACTCAGGTTTGTGTGCTAAACATATTCCAAAGTTAGCAGAGTCAACGAGAATAAAACCAGCAGACTGGAACTGATGCCAAGCTGTCTGGCACAGATCTCTTTCTCCTTGGACAGATGATCTGTTGTCCTGTGTGTATCTGCTATGTATAGGAACTGCTGTACCAGCAGACACAATGTACTGACTGGTGCGAATTGTACTTTGT